ATGAAAGCCTGCTCGGGCCGGATCCGGCAGCACATGAACTCGCCCTCACGTCGTTAGCCAGGATCTGGAAGTCATGTTCGACTCTGCAGGAACACTTTGCCTCTCGGCGAGCAAAGATGGAAGAAGATCCGAACAAGGTTCCTGAGATACCAGGGGATGATCACGCCGAGTTTCGTGAGCAGTTTGTCCTGAAACATCCTGAAACATCAGCCGCATCGCAAGTTCGTCGAGCGGATGAGAGAGTATACCTTGTTCATGGATCGGTTCCTTTTTACGAGGTTGGGGAAATGCGAACTCGGAGTGAACAAGTTGCCCAGAAGAGTGGTCTGTCCAAAAACGCTGAGGATTTGCTCAAAGTTGTCACGATCGACCAACCAAGCTTTCCGAACAACAGGTCATGGACAAGCTGCGTGCTTTTCAGGTCGCACTCGAGTATTTTGAACATTTGTGAGTTCACTTATGCCGCAGGTCCCCTTCGCTACCTCTCAGAGCTCGAGGAATGGCGACATGAGAATCGGGGCTTGGCTCTGCTTTTGTCAGTCGATAGCCTGATCAGGAAAAAGATCTATCGGTTGAACTCGGATCAGCACAAGACATTCTCGACTTTTTCGGCCGCTCTTTTGGAAGTGCTCAACCACCACACACAATTATGGAATGACGCTCGTTCGAGCGCCGAATTAGACAAGTTCCGACAAGCAGGGCAGTCCGCCCCAACCACTCCTCCGCGGAGACATCCCAAACGCTATCGTTCGGAGACACCCCCCAAGGCACCCTCGTCGGCCAAAGCTCGAAAGGCCCTGCTTAAGTCTGTCAAGTCGCAGGCGGGTGCTCGGCCTAAGGATCCTCCCAAGAAAGACGCTCGGGTTCCAGCTGAGGAGTGGGCAAAGATCACATCGTTTTAAATACTCAGGTCGCAAGCGGTGTCCCTTTTACAACTGCTCATTATAGGGTGCAGGTTCGGAGATCAGTGTAAGAGTGCTCATGCCTGCGTCGAGTGTGGGAAATCCCACCCCTCACACGGGAACCACTGAATACGATCGTCCAAAGCGGGGGCGCAGTCGACTCCGGCGTCCCCGCTACCTGTGCCTCAGGAGTCCGGTGCCACGCATGACGCGGCCGCTCGACCGCTGACAGTGTCGCCAGAGCACCCTGTGTGGAGGTCATGGGCAGAGGTCCCTCGTGATGTTGACTTGCTCAAGAAACATGGGCCTGGTTCCTTGAGATCTTTTCTACCCTGACCGCTGCTGTTCGTGCCGTCGGTCTCCCATGTTTGCCGCCGATCGATATCACCCCTTGTCAGGAGGTTCCGGTGCCGTTTGATGTTCTCGATTCGGCCTCATGGGACTTCGTCGTGCAGCTTGCACATGCATGCCGGGGCCATTCGGTTCGTTCACTGTGGAACACCTTGCAACCCGTTTTCTGCCGCTCGGAAACCCGACGGGGGACCTCCCCCCCTGCGATCCCGGGCTGAGCCGCTCGGCCTCCAGGACCTTTCGGCAGACAATCGTGCCTTGGTTTTCATGGGGAACCTGTTTTTGTTCCGCTCGGCCGAAATTTGTCTTGTGGTTTTCAACCACGGAGGCGATTACTCCATCGAGAACCCTCAACATAGCCTGCTCTGGCAAACGCCCACTGTTGAACAGCTCACTCGTCACACTCGTGCTCAGGCTGTGGACTTTGACCATATGGAGCCCCATCGGTGAAGCCAACGCGGTTCCTCATTTCACATGCACTGTTTCAAGGGCTCGCTCGACGGTGCCAGGGCGGCCATCGCCACCAGCTGTTGAAGGGGCGAGTTTGGTCTGACTTTTTCAACGCTTTCGTTTTTCGGACCAAGCTTGCTCAAGTGTACCCCTTGAAGCTGTGCTCACAGTTCGCCTCCATCTTGCAACAAGTATGGCCCGCTCTCGGGGCTCAGTTACAGTGTCAGTTTTCAGCTGTGTTCAAGATCGCGCAAGCGGCCGGTTGGTCAGCCTTTACGTTGGCGTGATCACCGCCAAGCGTACACAGCCTTGAAAGCCGAAGCAGCTGGCTACCAGCTCAAACGAGGAGCTTGGAAGCCGCTGTTGCACATTGAAACCGAGCCAGGAGCCGCCATCCAGTGGTCGCTCGAACTGATTCACCCCTTGTGCACTGAGGTCGAACTCGACGCAGAGCTCCGCGACGTGATTAGCCGCCTGGCTCAGGACCCAGCCGGTGTCGTTCGACAACGGACGCAAGCCCTCCACTGGAACACTCTCAGGCCGTCGTGAATTCGATCGAGGACCCGTTCTTGAGACGCCTCTTACGAGGGGCCCCGGACGGCCACCCATGTCACTTAGGTCAATGTTGCCATATCGCACTGTACTACGCTATGCTCGATGCCTGTGATTCGGTCGATCTTTTTCTGCCTGATTTATTGCTCGGAGGTTTCCCAATTGTCGGGCCCATCGCGCGCTCGCGGCGTTGGCCTCCCTTCGACAAGGATCAGAAGTCCCTGCCTGTTCAGAAAGCATTAGATAGGGCCTGGGAGCTTCGGAGAAAGATCGTCAACCGGGTCCCGGGCGTACCTAGTTCTGCCAATTTGACCAAAATTTGGGAAGCCACTTTGGAAGATGTTCATGAAGGTTCCACCATCGGTCCTTTCTTTGAGGAGCAACAAATTTCGGACTTGCTCAAGTGTGATGATTGGATTCCCACCCAAAGGTTTGAGGTTGTTCAAAAGAACAAGGTCAGAGGGCGTGACAGCGCCACAACCAATTTGATCAACCAGGTGACCACCATCACTGAGAAGTTGCAGTTACCTTCAACTGACACGAACGTGGCCGCCTTGAGGTTGCTTAGGTCACTCATGCCAGACGAGCTCATGCCAGACGAGCAGTTCGCAGGATGGGTTCTTGATGAAAGGAAAGCCTATCGGCAGGTGGGCGTCCGTCCGGACCATCGTAAGTTCAGTGTGATTTGTCTTAAAAACCCTGAGACAGACCGCCCGGCTTTCTTCGTCATGATTGGCCACTCGTTCGGGTTAGTGTCAGCAGTTTACAATTATATACAACAGGAGATCTGCTGCCATCAACGAACTTCTCCGTAGGTTGTTCAACCTTGTTGCCTTTAGCTTCTACGATGACAAGTACGGGTTTGAGCCTTTGCGTTCGGTCAACTCTGCTTTCGCGGTCGCCCAGAGGGTACACTGGCTGTTGGGCGCGTCGTTCGATGCAAAGAGACTCCAGATCACTCGACAGCCAACCATCCTAGGGCTCACTTACAACCTTGAGGACTGGGCGCTCGAAATTAAGGGCGATCGTAAGAAGGAATTGATTAATGAGCTCCAGTCGATCCTCCGCTCGGGAGCGCTCGAACCTGGCCATGCAGGGAAGATCAATGGCAAACTTATGTTTGGTGCTAGTCAGCTATGGGGTAAGGTAGGGAGAGCCTTTTTCAGAGTGATTTCATTGCGTCAATACGCTCGAGTCGCTGTGAATGATCAGTTCGCCCTGGATCCTCCTCTTACTGGGGCACTGAATCAGTGGATAAAGCTTGTTCAAGCAGGTCCACCAAGGACCATCGATTTCGTAGCTCAGAAGAGAGCAGATGCAGTGCTTTTCACGGATGGGTTTTCGCCGGATCCGAGAGAGAACGACATCCGCCCCGACCGTGTAGGTGCTGTTTTGTTCGATAGGAGAGCTCTGAAACCTGTTCAGTTCACCGCCGTGGTTCCGACCGGAGTGAAACAAAGATGGCTTGAGCGACGCACTCAAATTATACCAGTTGAGATGTTAGCACCGATCCTAGCTCTGGAGACTTTTTCGCAGAAGCTCTTTCGAGCAGATCTTTTTTTTCATAGACTCGGAAGTCGTTGAGGCCACCTTGGTCAAGGGATATTCAAGTCGTGAGGACTTGTGTGAGCTCGTCACTTTGTTGTGGGAGTTAGTGCTGAACCTCCAGATTCGCGTCTTCATAGACAGAGCGGCGACCGACGCAAACCCGGCCGATTGCCCTTCTCGGGCGAGCTAGAAGCTGCAGGTTGGTCAACCCAGCCAGCCGTGTGGCCATCGACCCTGCGTGAAGCTGTTCGTCACAGGAGTGAAAAGCAGAGTGTCTAGGGCCTGGGACTGGTTCTAGCTTTTATTTACCAGATCTCCAATGAACAGGGTTGTGATCCTAGCCCGCTCGTGAAGAGCCTTCTCGTGAAGAGTCGAAACCGGTCGGTTTGGGCTGATCCACCTGGGGGTCCTCACGTCTGTTTCTCACCTTCTTCGATGAACCCAAGTTCGACGACCCCATGCCAGTAGAACTTGGAAAAGAGGGCGTCACTTTGAGCAAGTTGTTGAATATCAGAGGTTGAACAAACGAAGCCCTGAGTGGTCCTTAACCCGGAAGTGGGTCTCATGTGACGGTTAGGTGGGACTGGATATGAGGTGCACTTTGAGGTTAAGGTGTTCAACTTCTTTTGATCTAATTTTATATGTTGATCAAACTAATCGATAAGCTTTCGATTGCCATTTTGGCGATGAGTCGCCTCTCGAGCACCGCCAGGTCAATTTGGCCACACCCACCCACCCTGGGTTCGCCCGGGGTGGACAGGCCTCCCACGCGGATGCGGTCGCGGCCGTTGTTCTGAACTCCAAGAGTTCGGAGAGTTTTCAGAGTGAGTTCCTGAAGGGGACTGGTTCAAGCTTTTATCTACCAGATCTCCAATGAACAGGGTTGTGATCCTCGTGAAGAGCCTTCTCGTGAAGGGTCGAAACCGGTCCGTTTGGGCTGATCCACCTGGGGGTCCTCACATCTGTTTCTCACCTTCTTCGATTGGAAAACGGGGCGTCACTTTGAGCAAGTTGTTGAATATCAGAGGTTGAAGAAACGAAGCCCTGAGTGGTCCTTAACCCGGAAGTGCAAGCCGCAATGGTGATAAACTAATTGAACAAAGGGTGCTTGGTAGGGACACCCGCCCGCAAAACATGACAAACCATGCAATGTCCACTCATCCTGCCCAGCAGCTCCAAAATCCTTGCCTTTTCGAGGAGTTCACAGCCTTTTTCTCCGGACAGCAGACTTCGGGTGGCAAGCTCCAATCCTGGCACCTCGGCCGCCAAGCTGCCAAGGCTGAACACTCAACATCGCTCAACTCTGTCAACCTGGGCTATTTGGACATGGTTGGTCGTTTTCTGATTGCATATTGAAGCTTTATATTTTTTTGGGGGGGTCCGGCTCTTTTCCGCAGTGGAAGTCACTGCTGGACTCATGCCAGCCAAGTGCGAATGTCCTCGGACCTATAGGCTTGGAGCAGGGTCCTCGAAGTTTGGCGTCACGCACATCTGGTCGTTGAGGATCCGTGTGCGAAGATGGCACCTCTGACATTCCAGGCTGTTGCCTGTCCGGGTCATCTCATGAGTAGGATGCCCTTGCCATTGCCCCGGATCGAGTGGGCCATGATGGCATACCTCGCCCAGGAATCTGTGGAAGATCTCTTCGCCTGCTCGAGCTAAGACATACCCTTTGTTCTTGTCCTGGAGGCCCTCTTTCTTGTGGAGAAAGTGAGATTTGTCCTGAAGAAGAATCTCCATGCGTCTTCCTGCCACACGCAAGATGTCTCGTGTGTCTTCATCGATGTGACGCTGGAGGTCAAGGATTTCTTCAGGCCTGGCAACTGGAAGAGCAGGAGTTTGATCTGAGCGAAGTCCTCCTGTTCCAGACCTTGGCTGAGATCAGGAAACTTTTCATAGGCTGCCCATGGGTTCCAAGCATTCCAAATGGCCTGGTTGAAGACCGCCACATGCACTTTGTCTCTGAGATGCAAGGACATGTGCTTGAGGCCATAGAAAAGGGCTCGAAGACGAGTGGCTTGGCCAGGGCAGATTCCAGTTAAGGATCCAACTCTCTCTTGGGTCTGAATGTGGTGGATGCAAATGGCAAAGGCAAATCGTGTCTGGGATCTCTGCAGGTTGGTGCAATGGCCAAAGAAACAGCATGTCCAGCTGGCAAGGTGCACGCTTCGAGGGATTCCCAAAAGGCCTTCCCCATTGAAAGTTGCCATGCCACCATCCGGGATGTAGAAGATGGATTGGGTCATACCTCGATTCCAAAGCTCCGGTTCAGTGCCTGCTTTCAAGCGCTCGACCCATTGTGCGGGCAGCGCCGGGACTTTGCCATCCCAGAAAGTACATTCCCAGGGAAGGTGAATGAAAGTGAGCTCGACTCCACACAAAGGGCATTTGCCCTCCTGCCCATGAAAGGTGCCCTGGTGAAAAGCTCTCACCGCTGTGTTGAAGCGCTCGGTGGACATCTTCTGGAGCGTGTTGCTGACTGTCCAGTCTTATGGCCTTTCTAAGTCGTGGCAACCCGAATGCCTGGTCATTCGTAGGAGTCGTTGCCAACGAAATTCCTCAGTGAGCATCCAGCAGTGAGGCTGAGTTGGCAGTCAGGAAGGCCGCCTGTCCGTTTCCATAGTTTGCCATTGGAGATGTCAAGAAGTCGTAGTCAAGGAGGTAGGCCTGAAGGGCTTGGAGTGGTCCAGTCACCACTTGCCAGCGGTATTTGGCTTTGAGGAGGACATCAAGGGCCGAGTTCCAGCTGATCCAGAAGAGGTGTTGCCCACTTTCATCGAAGGCGTGGAAGACCTTCCAAACAGTGTGAATGTGCTGGAGGATGATTGAATCACCTGGATCAGGCTTGTCGGGATGCATGTCGAAGACGACATCGACTGACCCTGATCTCTGCAAACGAAGACCTCTGGCGGCCATCACTCTGATCTGTTGCCGTCTTTGGGGAGCTAACCCATTTGCTTGGGCGCCCCAACATCCAGGTCATCACCGGATGTATGGAGTTGGTTGCATCGATGCCCAAGTCACGAAGAACGTTGTGGTGCTTTGGGTCTCCCGGCTGGAGGTTGCTGTCCAGGGCTTTGGCAGGCTCCTTGCTGCTGGTGATGAAGCCAGTTTTATCCGAATTGATCTTGAGGCCAGCAGCTTCCAGGTGGCCCTTGAGAGTTCGGTAGGCCAGAACAGCTTCTCGAGCATCTCCCTTTGATGTCGTAGGAGACGTCGTCAACCCACGTCTGGAGCTGGAGCTGGACTGCCGGATGTTCGGTGACCAAAGACCGGAGGGGTCTGAAAAGGACCAGCTTGGCAATTGCAGGTGCCAGAGCGCACCCTTGGAGGATGCCCTTCTCATAGTGCTTGGGGTTGCCCGCAATGCCTTCAGCCTGAATGAGTCTGGGACCTCTAGAGGTCAAGAGCCAGCTTCAAGTGAAGTGGTGGATACTGGAGCTCCGTGGCCGGCTCGATGAGCTGATCAAGTTGCACCGTGTCGTTGAAGCACGTGAGGTCTGCTAGGCAGGTCACGGTGTGAATGCCTTGGTGCTTGCCAATCTCTGCTTTCAGCATCCGGCCGACTGCAATAGAGAGGCAGTCTTTGTGGGGACGAGCAAAGTCCCAGGGCATGTCCTGATCGAGGGTGAGCGAATTCCAGAGCCTGTAGATGCAAGAGGTGAGGGCAGTGGGCCTCTCGATGCGCTCATTCTTCGGGATCATGACGATGTTGGTGTGGCGCAGTTGGATTGGAAGTTGAGCTGTCTTTTCCATCTCGGTGAGAAGAGAAGCCAGTCTTGCCACTGCAGGGTAGGGAAGATGTGGCAGGAAGTCATATGAGATCCCATCCGGGCCCGCCGCCTTGTTGGGAAGTTTCCTCATGAGTTTCCCGAGGAGGGCCGTGTCAACTGGCGGAAGTTGGGCTGCAGCTTGTGCAATCCTCTGAAGTTCTTGGAGCCCTCTAATGTGACAGGGTTCTGGCAAAGGGCTCCAGATTTCGCCCCATTGTTGTTCTCGTGCTTGGATCCTCTGAGTGTGAGGAAGGTCCTGGAAAGGGCGTTGCCAGCTGTGATCTTTTTGACGTAGGCTTCGAAATAAGCCCTTGAGGCCCTTGTCGTGAGCTTTCTCCAACCATTCTCTGAACTCGTGATTGGTGGAGCTGAGAAGTTGCTGTTGGGCAAGTTCTTGTTCTTGATGAACTGTTTGTTGTAGCTCAGCTGGGTCCAGCGCAGCTCCAAAGGTCCACTTGGTGATCTTTACCGCAAAATGCTGTTGATCGAGTTCTTTGGAGGCATGTATACATATATACATGTACATATATGCATAGAAGCTTTGACCAACCTCTCGCCAGATCCCATTTTCTTCCTTGCACGCCTTCCCTTGCAGTTTTCTTACCGTCTCATCGCAAACAACTCAATGTGTTTTTTCTACCTCAACCGACCGATTGCGGACTTGTGCCCTTTTCTCTTTTCATCATTGCATTTTTTGGGCTAGACTGCGTGCTTTATCCATCTTTGTCTATGTGATTCATACTGCATACCGGCTTACCAAGTAAAATTCAATCACCCGGACATCATATGACATCATCGGCTGGACTGGGAAGCCTTTTGTCGCCATTTTAAATGCTCTTTCCATCGTGTCCATTCGTCTCCTAAGTAGCCTTCAGTTTGGAGGGTCTTAGAAGTCCTCAGACCCCAAGACAAGCTCTTCTTCCCCGCAACCTGCCAAGGTGCACGCCGTATGCCCTAGCCATCATGGGTCAACCCATGGTGAGAAATTGCCCCTTCGGCAATGGAAATGGGTAGCCTAGCTGCATGTGGCTACGAGCGCCGTCAAGTGCCTGACTACACTTCACAAGTGGCAAATCATAGTCTTAGAACCAGTGGAAGGCAAGCGTAGATTCGTAGAGCTTTCCAAGGTATGGAGATGGGCGCGCTATTTCTATAGGCAGTGCGGAGCGGGCCCATGAAGAGTCACAACGTTTTGACAAATTTTGAAGGAGGCGACCACCTGAAACTGGGTAGAGGACAAGCTGAGGTTGGAATTGGCCCGGAGGGCCTTGGTTTGCTTGGCAAACTTGCTCAGCAAGGCCACTAGAAAGCTTGCGACTGGAAGCAGCCATTCCTGGACAACTCTTTGATCAGGAATGACACTATGAACTGATCTTTCTAGTTGCGGCGAAACCTGACCGTAGCCTAAACTTCCATAAAGGTGGGTTTAGATTCTAAATGTTGCCTGACGGCCAATGAATAAGTTTAGGTATGATGTTTGGATAGGTGACACGGTGGACCATTAGAGCTACTTTTCCCTGGAAAGATGATTTCGCAACTGATGAGAGATTGATTATGTTTTTTTCAGTGCCTTCAGAGGTGAAGTTCTCGTGAAAGGGCAACGTTGGGAGATGCAGTTGAAGGCCTGACGGAGTTCTCCGTGCTTTCTCTCTCCTGGAAGTGTTCTTTTTTTGCCCGGGAGGATGGGGGTAAGCCTAGAAACAAGGAGCTACTGTACTAGTATCTTGGCACACAAGGGCACTGGCTTGTTCAAGGAAGCTTTCCCCACCTGAGGGCACAAAAACGCGTCCTTGAAGAAGCCCGAGCCTTTATGATTTGGTTCCTAGGTTTGACTAGATGGATCTTGGCCACAAGTATCTTGGAGGATGTGCATGATCGCAGTCTCAGAAGTTTTGAGATTTACCAGTCTTGTTAACTGTGTGGCGTTTTTTTAGAATTTGTCCACCCGGTCACAGTCTAGATGCAGTTTGGTTCACCTGAAAGCAAATACAACTCATTGAGGTCCCCGTGAAATGAACGTGGCGCTTTGGTTGGTGAGCAAAATCCTTAGAGATTGGTTATAGGAACGGGAATTTGGTATTATGTGTGTGGTGCGAGATTGTCATCGTCAGCAGATTGATTCTATTAGACGCATGAGTTGATTTTGAACAGCTGTGTTGTCAATATTGATTGATATTGTTTGTCGTGATTAGGACACATGCGCCTTTGATTGCTTTGTAAGTCATGAGGCGCGAACATCAACTCAACTGGCAATGCTCTATTTTTCTGAGAAGTTGCTGTTTTGTTGGTGATTCTTTGTCGTGGTCCGTGTGGCCCGCGCTCCAGAGTTTCTATCGTTTCGATATCTTTTTGCGTTTTATCGTTGTGTTTTCTTTGTTCAAATTTATTTTCAGGACTTTGATGCTCTTGTTTTTGGTCTTTTTGATTTTTCGTTTTTTGCCTTTATCGTTTTCCTTGAGGGTGGTGGACAGACTCCCTTCTGCCGGGGTGCTGACGGCCGCGCAGTGCTGCGCTCCAGCGTTCGGGAGTTCTTGGCCTCAGAGGCAGATGGAAACCGCAGTGGGAAACTGCTCCTTATCTTACATGTCAAAAAGTGGCACGGTTGGATTTTGAAGCAACTTTCACACAGGTGCCGTCATGTCCTGTTGTGTGGCCCTTTGACATGAGTCAAGAATAATGCGTCCCTCCTTTCACACACCGTGAATACCCACATAGATATTTTTTGACTGAGCGTATTCAATGACATAATTCTTTGCAACTAGGCAAGCTCTTCATTGTTCTGGATGAGAACGTTCTCGATGGTCAAGTGCATTCACACAGAGTGTCAAGTAGTCCACGTTGAAAGTTGAGGGACTACGCCACATTTTGCCCCACTTTCGCCTTGCGTTCTCAACTTGCACAAGCGCGAAGGCAATGTTCAACCTGGGTGTTGATACCACCCGAGCCCTGTCCCTCATCGTCTCCGACGGGGGCGAGATGGCTGAGAGGCCCTGGTATTCCGCCAGCAATCACGACAGCGACCCGGAGCCATGGCTGGCGCTGATTTAAAGATTTGGAAGCTCCAAAGTTGAACGTAAATCGTAGGAAATTTTAGGTTGTTTAGGGGAGTTGTAAGAACTTAGGACACTTGAATAAGTAGATGTTCATTGCTCAGACATCCGCCTAAGGACATGATGATCCATGAGACCTGTGCGATAACCACCCGTGTGGCTCCCAGCTTCCTCAGGGTTGGACATATCGACCTCTTCGCACGAAGGGCCACAGACACTTGGACAGCCACAAGGGACGGGTTGGGCTCTTGGGATGGTGTCATCCTCCTTCACTGCCAACACCTTTCAAGGCTCACCGCGGTGTCACTTGCTACAAGTGTCACTTGTTCTTTTCGTTTATCATCGACACCCTAGCACACAGAGAATGCGCACACCCGGGAGTCCACTCGCATCACACCAACAACGAATATATAGAGACTAAACCTTTCCAAGCGTGCCCAGAGCCTAGGAAATGCAGTCAATCACCCACCCCGCTTGTTCCCTTGGTATCCCTTAGTAAGATGCACGAAGCTGTGATTACCAACCAATTGATTTGATTGATTGAATTTGCGCAATAGTTGGACGATCTAAGGCGAGCTCTGCAAGTCCTGAGCAGATCAAAGAGCACGAGCTCATGGTCGAGCATGCATTGTTTCGCGAGTATCCAGCAGCTAGACCACTGACCATTTTTCTAGCGCTTTTGGCGTAGGAAGGGCACTGGTAGGAGGGTATGAGGTGTATCGCTTGCGAGGATGTGCAATCAGCTCTCTGGGACTTTATCTTCGTCAACTTGCACGTTCGGAACGTTTCCACTTAGATTTGTGAGCATATTGCTGAGAAAAGTGCTGTTGTTGGCCTGTTATATAAATATGCGATGGGCAAAGCCAGCTGGTGGAGAGGGGTCCAAGATGGAGAGGGTTTTGGCCTTCTTGGATCAACTGCATCCACATGAATCAACATTATATAAATAACATGACATTAAAATATATTATCTCTAAGATCTCTAAGAGAATCGAGGAGCTGAGAAGCTTTTGCAAGCGAGCAGCTGAGAACTGAGGACTGTTGCCCTGGTGCCCCATTGCCACAACGCGCTTGCGCGATGATGCGGCAAGTGTCCAAACGCTTTGCAAAGCTGATACTCGGTGCTGGGCTCCACTACATAAATATATAATTCCTTTCAACCCACTGAGTATAACTCCCAAGACCATGTTTCTTGGCACCACTGATGCCCCTATGCAGACTCTGTGAACCAAGCCCCAACGGTTGGTTGCACTCGCCAGTAGAGTTTGACCAACAACTCCTGGCGACTCGCATGTGAACTTAAAAGTGCTGAGCAACAGTAAGGTACCTATGACCTCCTATGACCTGCACCTGCTGACGCATCCCAAGCTGCTAAGGATTTCTGGATGGCTGAGAGTGGGATTCTGCCAAGGCAACTTCAACGCAGACAACTGCCCCTTGGTACAGTATGCGAAAGTTTTGTTTGATATCGTAGGATTGCAGACAATTGCAAAAAACACATAAACATCTGATTATATATACATGATTGTGTTTAATATTGTATCATATATATATATACATAGATTCACCCATACATATGCATATATATATATATGTATATCTATCACTTTGCCGTGCCTATGAGCCCACACTGTTCTGAACGAGTGCACACACAAACTAGGAAGCTTCTAGTTACCAGAAAGTGCAAACATTTGGCACCTCATGTACACACCACTCGAAGCCATCTGGGCTGAAAAGGAAAGCTGCGCGACATAGCGCAAGTTTGCATGGTAGCGAGCGCTGGCCGTGCCAAGGCCTTGCGCAAGGGTCAAGCGGCCCTAGCGGCACACGTGGCTCTCCCAGGACGGGAGGTGAGGCCCTCAGGGGGCTGGTGCCGGTGGCTGGCTTTGGGAGCCGCGACCCTGGCGTTGGTGGTGAGCGGTGCACCATTTGTGGTGCTGGGCTGCTTGGTGGACGATGACGTCCGTGGAGGAGTTGGCGGCAGCCCTACAGCAGCTGAGACAGCAGGTCGTGTCCACCCAGGCCGACAACCAGGTGTTGAGAGAGAGACTGGTGACCTTTGAAGCTCAGGCCGCATTGATCCTTCCCATGGTGCGGGTGGCATGGCCCCTGAAGTTCGAGAGATGATGAATGCTCTTCGAGTCTTGGGAAGTTGTCCAAGCCCAAAGGACTCATAGATCCGATTCCAAGGTCCCTCATGACCGGCTCAACTGGTGGTTCGTGCTCTTGCAACAGTGCCCTGAGCTCCCGGTCCGTGGCTTTGTCAGTGGCGATGAAAACCAGCCGTTGGTGCAAATCTCGGTATGCTGCAACAGCTTCCTTGGCAGCCTTCAAAAGCTGTGTCGAAGCCAGCATCATCCACCCAGCTGGAGAGGTAGATCGCAGGGTGTGCTTCTTGCCACAGCTTTGGCCAGAAGTGGTGCTTGCGGACAGCCTGCTGGTACACCGTTTTGGACTTTGAAAAATGGTGTCATCTCTTGCTCTGCCACAATTGCTTTGGGGCCTGTGTAGACTTGCGTGGCCATTTCAAGAAGCAGTGGTGGGTATTGAAGTTGGAGGGCTTCTGTTTGGAGCCTGGTCAAATTGATGGTGTCGTAGAACGTGGACATGTCCATGAGCATGTCACAAGCATTGGAGCGTTGGAAGGCCCTTCGAAGTCGCTATGACAGGAAGAAAGACCAATTTGGCGCACGTGAGGCACTACCTGAGTCGCTGGCCATGAATGCCTTGGAGAAGTTGGTGCTGGAGACACACCTCATGCTCAACTATGCCAGGTTCAAGACCTTCGAGGAGATGGAGAAGGAGGTCATCAACTTCATGGAGGCAAAGACAGGGTCGAGAATGGTCGTGAGTTCGAACTTTGCCAAGCCGACTGGTGGGAGCTCAGGCCCAGTTCCAATGGATGCCGACAGCTTGATGAAGGCTGTTTCAGGCAACATCGCATCCCTCATAGTCAAAGGGGGCAAGAACGATGGGAAAGGCACCAACGCAAACAAGATCAAGTTCGATGGCAATTGTGACAACTGTGGCAAATCTGGTCATCGCAAAAGAGACTGTTGGGGTAAGCCCACAGGTGGAGGAAAAGGCGCATCATCCCGGAGCCCGACTACCAGTCCCAAGAAGGAGGTCAAGTTTGCTGGCAATTGCAACTTCTGCGGCAAGCCTGGCCACAAGAAGTCCGAGTGCTGGGCGGCCCAAGGCAAAGGAAAGAAGGGTAAGGGAGGAGGAACCGGTCCTGGTAGTGGGAAGGGTTCCAACAACAAGAACTCCGCTAACTCATTGGACCTCCCTGAACCCGAACCTCGACCAGATGCCAACGGCTTGGGGCTTTGCACTATGGATCTTTGCACGCTTGAGGAGAGCAGGAGCCCAACACGCAACTCGAGTTACATGTCACCGGCGAGATCTCCAAGGGCTGATGGTGAGCGAGGGTCAGCAACGGAGAGATCGGCTTCATCCGTGGAGTCGTCAGATTCGGTTGAGAAGCCATGGATCAAATGCAACCTGGACACCGGTACTTCAGTGACGGTGTTCCCAAGATCCATGTTTGAGTCAGGTGAACCGACAGACATGCGGCTGAAGACCGCGTCTGGCGAGGTGGTGAAGGCCTACGGCAAGGCGACCCTACGTAAAAAGAACTCCAGAGGATTGATGAGGTGGCCGACGTGCGCAAGGTGTTGGTCAGTGCCGCCAAGATGCACGAGAAGGGCCAGCTCATGGATTGGCCCTGGAGGCGCAAAAAATCATTCCGCTTAACCACCCCGTCAGCACGGCCATGATCGAGGGAATAAGGATGGCGTCATCCCGGTGTTCGAGGAGAATGGGGTCTACAACTTCTACTTGCGCGAGGAGTTCATTGAGGAGGGAGTTGCAGCCCCTAGTACACCTGATGGGGTTCCACGTCCTCGGACCCCAGATCGGGAGCAGCAAGACGTGGTCTTGAGGACATGGCAAGTCGGAGAAGGTGAACGACCAGCATCAACGAGGAGCAGGACACCACGAGCAGGCCGACGTCGACCTGTGCGCGCCTTGGGGGCAGCTCAAGGAGAACCTGATTGCGAAGAAGCAGAACTTCATGAAGCCAGGCCGGCAAGGCCGGGATGGACTCCGGACACTCCGTCGGAGGCCGAGAAGAAAGAGCGCGAAGTTTCGGGGCGCGCAGTGTTCCGGAATTGGTGTCCCGAGTGCATCCAAGCGACGGGGCGAGTGCAACAACATCGACGTGTTCCTCGAGAAGATGAACATGGCAGCACAGTGGTCATGGACTACTTCTACCTGAACGAGGAGGAGCCAGGCCGCACCTTGTTGCTCAGGATCGCAAGACTGGCGTGATGATGGCCACAGCACCGAACCAGAAGGGAGCGGTTGAATGGATTCCCCCCTGAGAAGTGGTAGTCCAACTTCCAAAAATGGTAGTCCAAAAAATGTGGTCACAGCCACATGTCATTCAAGAGTGATTGCAAGAGCTTTGTTGGTATGTGAGCTCTTGGAGATAGATGAATGTCACCATTGGACAACAGATGTATTGCCTTCGGTAAACATATACAAAAGTGTAAGATGACCCCACCCAATGCCCAACAGTCTAAACATATGTGGTCCATACCTATGTTGCATTTGCAAAAAACATATCATATATCATTTGCAAAGACACAGTTTAGATACACTTTCACACTGTCGCATGTCAATGACAAGATGTTTTCACATTGCATTTCATTGTCAAGTGCGCGAGAAAAAAGGTGTCATCGTGTTCGTTTGGGGGTTGGTGGGATGTGGTTGGTCTGACAGCCTAGGGGATTGCAAGCCTGCACAGCTTGCTGGCCCGAAGGCTGTTGGCCAATCACAGGGACATGTTCTTGTTCTTTCCTGTTTTTTTGCTGATGTGTTTTCTGGTGCCTTGTTTTCTTGCGCTGTTACTCTAATGTTCAGAACAATGAAACAACCTGCGCTGTTTCTAATTGGTTCAGGACGTTCAGAACAATGAGAGAACCTGCGCAACACAATTGACAACACAACAACACAATTGACACCTCCATAACAACACAACTGACACAGTCACAATTGGTTCCATTACAGAACAATTAACAATAATCACACCAACCTTGTGAGTTCTGAACTTTTTTGCAGTTTTCACCCGACAGGGCAATGTCGTCACCAGAGCCAAGTTTGCCATCCTCGATCCACACAGATCTTGCAGATGAATCCAACTCTGATGTTTCCCTCCCGCCATCCATTGGCAGTGACGATTTGAATTTGGACGATGGTTGTTCGTTTTTTGTTGCAAACGCAATTGTGGCCAGTTCTTCTCCAAAGAGGCATTGCAAAGCTACCAACTAGAGCTTGGACAAGGAACCCCTGCCGAGGTCAAAGCCAGAAAGTTCGATTGTGTCAAAAAGGTCTTCGACCAGAACACTGCAGAGAAACAAAAGAATGGTTTGGATTGGCATTTCCAAGGGCACACTGTTTGTCGCCGCTTCTGGACTTCAACACATGCATTGTCGCCAGGAAAGGTGTCCAACATTCTCAAGCTTTTGCGTGCCGGGAATGTCACACTTCCACCTCCAGGACCTCGAGCGCACAAGCCCGAGCCCATGTTGGACCGTTGCAACACATGGTTGTTGGAGACCTACCAACACCTAGCAGACCCTCTAGCTGTACCCGGGTCTGAAGATAGATTGCCCACAGGCCTTGCAGAAGTTGTGGAAAGCACACATGAGATTGTGGACGACATCAGCCATCCGGTTTACGCATTGGGGTTCAACCTTGACACCAGTGCAGGTGGCAAACGTGTTGCAGGAAGAAGATTTCTAAACTTCCACAACATTCATGAATTGTTCACATTTTACCAGGCCGATGTGGACAGTTCTCAACAAGTGGCCAGATCAACATTCGAGAGGGCATTCAAAGCTTGGTCAAAATATTTGATTTTCAAATCTCCAAGCCAAGGAAACAAGTGCTCCATCTGCCTGTCATTGGCTGAACGACGCTCAAACGCTTCGAACGAAGAAGAACGTTTACAGATCGATTGTGAGAAACAAGAGCACCTCAACGTGGTGAAGAAAGATCGAAAGGTGAACACTCGTGGCAATGTCAAATCGAGCGAATTGGCAAATTTCATGCCTGACAATCGGCACCATGGGGTTTGCAAGCTCATGCTGGACGGCATGGATCAAGCCAAATTTGCCATGCCAAGAGCGAAGAGACTATGCGGAACCTCAGATTATGGCAAGGTGTGGAAACCCAATGTACACCTCGTTGGAGGGATTCTTTGGGGTGTTTGCGAGTATTATTACTTGCTGCCCATGGACTGTGCAAAAGATTCAAGTATGCAAGCGACTTTGTTAGGCAGATCATTGGATGTGGCACGTGAGAAACTACAGTTGTTGGAGCCAACCATGGACCTAGATCTACCTGACAACATGGTGATTGCTGTGG